GCTGAAGTTTTCCAAGCGATGGGCCTCCACTGACACAGCAAAACGAGGAGAGGAGCCTGGATCAATTAGTGACATTGACAAGGACTTTGGAGTAGCGAACTTGACACTAGACATGGCTCAATTGTTCAGGCCAGTAAACGCAAAGATCGATTCTCCGGTGCAGGGTGTACATACCAACATTTAAGAGCGAAATGACACGAATAATACGTTTGGGCGGGGCAACATATAGACGGTTTTCATTGCATTGCATGGGCGTTGTTACATTTTCCTTTAGTTTACTCCGCTCCATCCAACAGCGTCGAGATTTACAGAGTACATTCGATTTCAAGAAAAGTTTGCGTGGTTTTATATATTAGCATTGCATTTGGCGGCGAAGGGATGAGTTGTGATTAGAGGCCCAGCAATTTTTGTGTTGCTGCGGATTTTATTTCATTCGCTTTTGTTGTCCCTGTTCAGCAGGACAATATTACATTTCATTCAGATTTCGGGAATGGGGAAATGAAAGAAAATGTTACAAACGGATACCAGCTTCTTGAAGCGCTGCATTAGATGGCCTTGCTTTTTTCTCAATTGGTACCTTGTTTATAGAGACGTTGTTATGATGGGTTGTTGGGGGAGAAGATGAGATGTCCTTTGACCGGGGCGATGAAAAGCATATGAGACGATTTGGGTGGAAGAAAAGAGGATTGGCCTTCGCTCACGCAACAGACAAGGACAAAAAAAATACAATATCACCACACCGGAACCCTAGACTTTGGTATTACAATTTCATGCAGCTTTAGCTTCTTGCTTGCTGGATGAGATAGTTGGCGGGACAGAAAAGGGGCGCGATTAATAGAAAGGGCTGTATATCTTTTAATATACAAGACTTCTCTATTTGTTCACAGCTCAGCTTTTTCGGGGGTTGCGCTCGCTTGCTCTTTTCAGGTGTTTGTTTATTATTTGCTTACTTTACATTGCGTTACACAGCTTGAGGGGAAAATTGGGGTGGAATGCATGGGTATATTGCGATGGGTTAAGATAAAACGATTGATTGGTACCTCTTGATGAAATTCTTTTGTTAGGAAGAGAAGGAATTCGGGGGGTATTATATTATCTACTAGATAGAATCAAAAAAAGTTTTAAAATTTATGAAAGGGCTTTCTTGTATACTGTTTTGATTTCTTGATTTGTGTTGTGTTTTGTGTGTGTGAGATGAGGGATTGAGGAAGTGAGAAGAGATGGCCGTAAAAATATATGTACTTCTTTATAGTGAATAGGATATGCAATGAGTAGAGTAGCTAGAAGTAGAATTGTAGGAGGGATTGTGAAGAGGGGGTTTGAGGAATGGGGATCTTGAATTACAATGGGAAGATGGGGAATAATCGTTAGTAGATGTAGGATATGATATATGAGTTGGGAAGGATGGAGAGGATTTGTGTCTAGGTTTTTGTGAGCGGGCCGAGAGGGGAGGAAAGGAGAGGAAATGAAAGAAGATGTGTGTGTGCGGAGGGAATAGTGAGATGAGATGGGGTGAGATGGGATGCGGGGTGCTAAGGTCGCAGCTGAGCAGCATGTGGCGAAGACAGAGAAAACGTCGAAGATTGAAAGGAATTGCAAGATAATTATTTATCCAGTGACCAAAAAAGTCGAGCTATCTAGATACTTTCAGCGAGATGGCTACCAGAGCATTCAAAATTCCTTCATTCACATAACGATAAAATCTCAAAATAGTATGCTAAGAAACAATCTTCAATTAGTTCGATGTATCATGTGCTCCAATACCAAGATCTCGAAAGAAGCTGTCTGCAACAATAAACACTGACGAATCGCTCATCTATAAAAGCGCCGTTGAAGGCAATGATATCACAAGTCCGTCCAAGTACGTGCCCCATTCCATTAAAAAAATATTGGCCGTTGCTTTTATAAACCCCACCCATTCCCTTTCATTCCATTCCATATTAGAGATCGTTGAAATCCCTTTTTGAACGCCAAACTTGTTGAAGTTTGCCCATAAACACCAGCGCTAAATGCAATGTTAAATGCCATAAAACCATTGTGAACCCATCCTCATGCATGTTGAATCGTAAAATCGTGTTGAAAAGTTTAAGTAAGTATAATCAATCATGTTAAAAGTATTAATGGCCATTAGCCTCTCCGTTTGTTAGTGGGACGGTTTGGGGTTCGATAAATCGTACACCATTAACGTCACCATTCTCGGAAGTTTCGAAAGGTTCGTTGAGATTCTTTACAGTGAGCCCATCGAAAAGTGGGAAGAGCCCATGTGACTTATGAAAGTCGTTATGAACTGAATTTTATGTTAGCTTCATTTGCAATCTCAAAAGTAGAGATTGAGAATCAACTTACCAATATTGACAAGATACCATGAGTCCATAATAGATTCAATGAGTCCACGACTTGGGCTAAGTGCAGAATGGCAATGAGCCCAGTCTGTTCCCAGACGGAATGCCTCGTCTTTCCATGCCAAGAAACTAATGGTCTCGACAATAGTAGGTTGAACAATTTCCTTTCCAGGGAATACTCCCCAAGTGACAGCATTTGGTCCATCACTTTGTGCGTTTGTTTGCAAATCTCCGGTCTTCTTGACAGCATAGTATGTCAGATCAGGTTCGTGCTGAATACGACGCACTAACTCTGGCATCATATCAGGAGCAACCAAAAGTTCCAAATAAGCTTTCTGGTAGACATAGCCATTGGTAGGTCCCCAACCATAAACAGGATCAGATGATTTGACACCATCAACAGCAGGCTGAGAGTTGATGGTAAGAAATCCACGTCGGTTGAGCTCAATCAAATCAGACTTGATGATATCTGCTTCGCTTGAGATTGGAGCTTCACTCCAAGGAAGACTTTCTATGCCAGTCTCAAGGTAGCTGACGAATAGTTCCGCAATATCTTTGATAGACTTGGGCTGACCCCAGAGCTTAATGTTTTGTTCGTTGCTGCCCTTCAACCCGATTCCATAAGCATCTAATTCACCGAAAGCAGGAGATCTCGAGTCTCCCCATCTACCGTTGGGGAATTCATCCCAATCCTGGGTTCTAGCCACGTAAGACTTGTTTCGGTTTTTCCAGAAAATTGGACGAACATCTTCCTCTCTACGACCTAGGCCAAGAGATTGTCTCCATGGAAGGGCATGCTTCAATGGACGTTGGTTTGATGGAGTCAAACGAAGTTCGTCGAGCACCATACGAGTTGCCTGAGCCAAGTTCATGGTGTAGAAATGTAGATGATATACTCCAGCGTCAAGAATTCGACGACACATCTCAGCAACTAGATCTTTTCCGATGTTTCGCACAGCAGCATCATCATTCTTGACCTCTTCGAGAGCTGCACTCCACTTTGGTGGAATCTTGCACCCCATATGGTTACATCTTCGAAGGAAACTTGCGTATGTGTTAATGGGCATGATTCCTGGGATTACAGGAACGTTGACACCTCTTGCTTTGACTTTTCCCAACCAATCAATGAAATTGTCGACATCGTAGAACATTTGAGTGACAATAAAAGTGGCACCCGCATCAACTTTCTCCTTCAAATGATCTAATAACAGATCTTCATCGTCCTGGTCATCGCAACCCTCGGGATATCCAGCAACTCCAATATCAAAATGATTGCCATATGTTTGACGAATATGGTGAACAAGATCTTTCGCGTATTGAAATCCTCCTTCAGTTGCCTCCCACTTTTCCTTCTCTCTCGGTGGATCTCCTCTAAGGGCAAGAATGTTCGTGCATCCGGCTTTGTAGGCATTTCTAAGCGCTTCATCTACTTTCTCTTTTCCCATGTCGGTACAAGTCAAATGCATGCAAGTCTCCAATCCATATTGCGATTGAGCCACCCCTACCATCTCACAGGTCAATTGAGCGAGACGGCCACCTGCACCCCAGGTAATATCAATGAAACTAGGTCCTAACCCATGCATGCGGTCCATACGATCGTAAAGATTTTGTACACCTTGAGCAGTCTTTGGTGGGAAAAATTCGAAAGAGAAAGAGGGGTTGCCCGACCTTTCGGCCTCCGAGAGCATGTCTTTGATGTGCATCTTGAAAGTTAAGAATCTGCAAATGGTGTCGCTGTCGTATTGATATAGAAACTGAAAACAAACGATATTAGCAATAATTCAATGAAGCTTCTAAGATATCTGGGCGGGGAAGGCGGCGAAGGCGGCGACAAACCGTGAGGTTGTCAAATTTGTACCAACCCCGCAACGCCTTCACCAATAGCAGAATTAAAGCCCTGAGTAACGCAGCAGAGATTGGCAGATTGAATGCAAGGGCCGGGAGTGAAGTATGGTACCTTTTTGTTGTCTTTTGTGAAGATATACTCTTGTCAAGTAGGCTAGACTAGATCCTCGAAATGATAATAAAGAATGAAGAGGACTAGATGGATACTAGCCGAAATACCTTTTACGAGCCCAACGATCTGCTACGTCTCGCAGCATGTACTTGGATTATCTTGTGTTGATGATTGTACTACTGAGGTTTGCTGCAAACAAATTGGTGGTGAAGTACTGATAGATGTACAAAGCTAAGAGAGGGAGGTGGTAGAAAAGGTTCTAGAAAATTATATAGATGTCAATCGAAACCAAATTTGGGCCAATGATGATGTATCAACTCCACATTTCATAGTTTTTCTTCCAATGATGGGTGCAATGAACAATAGAACCATGAATTCTCAAAGAGCAGTAGATCTATCTTATCAATACATACCTATTACCTAAGTACCCTTTTAACGATTTCTCGGAGCTTGGAAGCTTTGTCTCACAGTTTGAAGTGTGTTTGCTTGTACAATACACCAGTACCACCATTTAATTTCGCGGAGGTTGGTATTCCCTACACAATTTGTCACAAAAACTTTCGGGCGCCGAGAACATTGCCCCTCCTACGGCACGGCACAAGGTCACATTTAGCCATGATATTCCGACGGTGTGGAGACGAATACCCCAGTGTCGTATATATGAACTCCGTGGAGTCAAACTTCAATGGGATTATTCTACAATGTTGAACCGAACACGATCTAAGGTTGTTCTTGTTGTTGTTGTTATTGTTGTTGTTGTTATTGTTGTTATTGTTGTTATTGTTGTTATTGTTGTTATTGTTGTTATTGTTGTTATTGTTGTTATTGTTGTTATTGTTGTTATTGTTGTTATTGTTGTTATTGTTGTTATTGTTGTTATTGTTGTTGTTGTTGTTGTTGTTGTTGTTGTTGTGTTCCACTATGTAGCTTGAAGTATCTCTGGTTTTATTTCTACACGCAAATCGTCACAAAGGATTCGCTTCCAGTATCTCAACAACACCGCCAATAAACATGAGTATTAACCAACGCCGGCACTCCATATTTTCATCCCTGGATATCATCACAACATGCCATGCCAAATTCTCGACCGACAAAAATGCCAACTAAACAAAAACACTATTGTTGTCCCGCACCGTCTTCATCAGTTCGCAAGCCATTAAATTGAGTGCCTTGATTGGCAGTACTCAATCTTGCACACAATCCCAGTAACACCACAGTTTCTGTGGCAGCATAATGGTTAAGAGCATCCAACAAAATTTGCAAATGCTTGCTAAAGTTGAACTCGTATTTTCTGATGATCTCGTACATCTTTTCGAGTCGAGCTTCATCGAAACCTCCTTCCGCAGACGGGTTCCCCCGGTTAGGTTCTCCATTTCTAGCACCTCGATCACGCTGGTAGCGAGCCCATTGCTGTGAGTTCATTGTACTAGGTCTTTCTGTTCCCAGTAAATCTGTGTCAATCTTCTCCAATTCTCTTGAGAGCCATGAAGTGAAGGTTGCGAACATCGTACAGGTTGACATTAATTTAGAATGAATCTGTAGAGTATTAGTAGAGCTTAACGAAGCAATAGTTATAGGTAAACATACCCTCAAAAGTCTGCTATTCGTAAGCATGCACTCCTTCATACAAGTATCAAGGAAGTCGACATGATCTTGCATGAGTTCATCGACTGTTCTGACCGCTGGTGTTTTCCCTACTTTATCATCTTCTTTTGCATTGAGTCGAGCCATCAAACCCTGCCAGTTTGGTTCGATGACTTCAGATGTACAAAAATAGAGAAGTTGTTGCACAAATACCAGCATTCGTGCTCGCAACGTAAACACTCTTCGCTTCCACAATTCAAGGTTTCGATTTGAGCTTTTGTGAGACCAAGTAGCGGCTCGGTTGTGGGTTTGCCAACAGGTGACGAGTTGTTGCTCGAGATAACGCAAAGATAACAAATATCGAAAGAGTGCTTGATATCTCCAGACTGTCTTCCTACTGATGACAAGGGATACTGGAAATGGGACAGAATAATCGAGTTGAAGAGAAGTAAAACCCACAGCAGCCTTATCATTTTCTGTGACTGGTTGAGCAGCAGTTTGTAGTGATTCTCCCTGTTCAATACCCGATATATTGACTACTCTGGTCAACATATTCGTTAAGCTAATATCATTCATCTCAACTTTGATGTCTTCCTTGAAAGGATCCTGGGCAGCAACACTTCCAGGCTGTCGAAGAACAAGATCCAGTAATGACTGAAGCTTACTAGTGTTAACAGCTTTAAGAGGTTTTCGCAACTCAGAATTACCGAGCTCGAGGAAATAAGAGAAGAAGTCCGAGCGGTCCAAAAAGAAATAGTGCTTCAATGATCTTAAACGTGCAGGTAATGAATGAGCAGTCAATAACAAGTTGAGTAAAGACTCATTGGCATGCGCGTAGGCACTATTGACATTTTCCAGAAATCGATTGTCATCAAATGATCGAGGAACGTCTTTCACCTCTTTGCTCACATCGACACCCCCACATTCACGGACGACATTCAAATATTTACCGGCCAAGAGAACTTTATCTTTCACGCCTTCCAATTGAGGAGGTACATCAGTATCCCTAATCGTGTATCGTCTCTCCCAGTACTCATCGGTGTAATCTTCCTCCAACCTCTCCCTCTTTATACTCTTCTGTTCTCTCACTAGGAACTCCGCATGAGGGTCTTTGATGCTTCCGTGATGCAACCACTCGTTGAGCATCACCATATAAGGTCGACTAGCATCTCTCAACAGTGAAGTCAGGAGAGATCGAGCGGCCGGATCGCCAGACATTGTCTCCAGTCGCTTTGTGATGAGACCCAAAACACTTCCACCTTTGCAAATCTTTTTACCTGGAATATTCCCAAGCCCAAGGTCTCCACCCTCACGGAGACTTTCTAAGATATTCTCAAAATCATCCATACCGTCCCCATCCTCCTCATCTTCCTCAAGCATGGAATTTCTCTTCAATATTTCATGGGCAAGTGAAGATAACTGAAGCATCATGTGGCTCGTAGGAAGAGTATGAAGGTTTAAAACGTGTAAAGTAAACGATGGATTGGTAAGAAATTGGGTCTCGAGCTGAGCGATCAAGATGAGGTAATCTTGTAGGAGCTTCCTCATGGCAGCGCATAATGCATGGTTGACAGCTCCAAATTCCTCCCGGCTTTGTACTTCAACAAAAGCCTCTGTTGCTCCGTAATTCGTAGCCATCTTGAGCATAGTCGTGGTTAGGTCCTGTAAACTAGGGTCCAAGCCAGGTAATATCCTAAAGCTGGGACCCGCAAGACGATCCTTCTCATTGAGGGGATCATAGGCCTTGCCAAACCTAATATATTGCCCTTCATATCCCATGAAAACAAACAGAAGATCCTCCAATATAGCTGCCTCTTGTACTTCCAGGGACAATTCGTGAAGGGGCTGAGGCTGCAAGGCTTGGGGAGCTTGAGAAGCAAGTGGTGGAATGGAGATTCTGGACGCTAATGGCGCAGTTGTATGCGGCACTAAGGATACTTGAGGATCCCATGGTAATACTAAAATCATAATTTTTAGAATAACTGCATATGTTCCCCCTCAGAACGTATCTTACCAGGTTGAGTTTCGGCTTTTGATGCTTTTAGCGGAATCTCTTCCCCGCGCGATCTAGATGTATCATTGGCTCTAGGACGTTCCGTAGGTGCGCGACGATCAGGACTTCTTGTTCTAGACGTCACTGTCTCTCTACTTGAGATATGTACCCGTTCAGTCCTCCTCTCCTCTACCCCTCTATTACTCCGTTGTGAGCTCGATTGGGCTCTCCGATGATTCGATTCCGTAGCTCCTGGTGGCGGTGAAGGACGTCGACGTGCATCTGGTCTCTCATTCCTTGTGCCAGCCAGTGCGGACGGCGGGCGAGATCTAGGATTCTCATTCGACCTTCGCTCAGATTGTGAAGAAACTCTAGCTTGCGCAGACATAATTATCACATCTGGGTTTGTAAACTATAAGCACGAAGAAGTCGAGAAGATATTAAATTGAGAATGGTAATTAATTGTATGCGACAGTGAACCGTATATCTCCATTGCCGTGACTATTAATTTATTTTCTATAAGTCCTATCTTCCCCTCCCTTCACGCGTTTGGATACAATAAACTTCCTTGAGAGACGTGTAGATTACGCTAAGCCTATTTGACCCTAGTTATTTTGCTACCAAAACCTCAGGAACGGGCCATTTGATAGCTTCGCATGCCTGTGCTTGCCTAAAGTAGCTCCTAAATCTGATAGCTACCAACCTCTGCAACAAGCTGTTCGTTCATAACGTCAACGTCCTGAAATTATCTCTCCGCGAATACCTTCAAGTTACTTATTTTCATACAGTCAGCGCATTCTATCGAAACCTCATCTCTTCGTCAACAAGCATATACCCTCTCTTACTTTTGCCAGCGGCTGTTTCTCAAGATGTTTATTGCAAGATCTGAATATGGTGAGTTACTTGAAGGCTTTCTGCGGCGCCTATACCTTTGTTAAATCAACTAACAAATTCGCAGATCGAGGTATCAAGTATGTCAAAGTCTTAGCTACAACAAGCATCCCACATTTCAGGTCAATATTAATATAACTCCAGCACCTTTTCCCCGGAAGGTCGTTTGTTCCAAGTAGAATACTCTCTAGAGGCCATCAAATTAGGATCAACAGCAATAGGAGTTGCAACCGGAGGCGGAGTGGTTCTCGGTGTCGAAAAGCGCGTAACCTCTACTTTACTCGAAACCTCTTCCGTTGAGAAGATTGTCGAAATCGATCGTCACATTGGATGTGCCATGTCGGGACTTCAAGCAGATGCACGATCAATGGTAGAACACGCCCGAGTCGAATCCCAAAATCACAGCTTCCATTACAACGAGCCTTTGAGAGTCGAGAGTTGTACTCAAGCTATCTGTGATTTGGCATTGAGATTTGGTGAGGGTGCGGATGGAGAAGAGAGTATCATGAGTAGACCATTTGGTGTTGCTCTTTTGATTGCCGGATACGATGAAGATGGACCACAATTATATCATGCTGAGCCAAGTGGAACCTTTTATAGATATGATGCAAAGGCTATTGGTTCAGGTTCAGAGGGCGCTCAAGCCGAATTACAGAACGAGTTTCACAAGGTATAATAAGATACATGATCACCTATAGATGATTTTTCGCTGACCTAAACTTTAGTCACTCACAATTGAAGAGGCAGAAACTTTGGTGTTGAAGACGTTGAAGCAGGTCATGGAAGAGAAATTAGATTCGAAGAATGTGCAATTGGCTAGTGTTACCAAGGAGAAGGGTTTCCGAATTTACACTGATGAGGAGATGGCAGCTGTTGTTGAACGCTTACCTGCTAATTAAGATTTCGAATAACGAGAAAAGTCTGGATTCAATCTAGCATGGACTAGTCAATCTTAGACATCTCAATTGACATGAATGAATGACATTAATGCACATGGAATTCTTGCTTGTAGAAGAATGCTTGACTATATGTTCCGCTGATAGTACGTTGTATCAAAAATTACGAATGATAAAAGTTGCACTATATCTGGAATGTCCTGGGAATCCCGCCTACTAGTGTACGGGAAAGCAATGGATAATAAAAATATTTTGCTAAATTCTAGTTTCAACGCCCTTCCATGCCACATTTCTTAGGTTTGACAGACAAATTATCTCTCTTATTAGGGTCAGATTCTAGTGGCATTCTTCAATATTTGTTGTCCAGACCTGTGAGCCAAGGAGTCTCCCAGATTCAGATGCTCAAGATTTTGAAGAAGACTATATGTTTGACAGTATTGTTTTTGCTTGTATAGAGCTTGTGAAGTTTCGAGCTCAGTGAATTGAATCATGTACGGCGTTTTGGAAGGTTCCTCACAAGGGACGATGAAAGAACCTCCTGAAATTACCCTCTTAAAACACTCGGATCTCCTTCGCTTGTAGAACAAATATAGAATACCTGTATTCATCGTTTGCGTTCAAAAATCGGCTATATCCAGAGCATCGCTTTTCAAGTATGCAAAATATACAGAATGATCAAAAAGAATAAGATATTGCAATTTTCAACTATAACCTGCACCGCACCATCTCTAAACACACTTCAGAATTCAGACCTCAAACTCACGATCCCGCATAATCAAATCCGCCGCTTTCTCCGCAACCGCATAAACAGTAGTCTGATAATTACTTCTCGTAGACAAAGGGAATATAACTCGTATCCCTAATCCTCACGTTCTTCGTTCCATACACTATCTCTTTTCACTCACAGCCCCTCTTTTTTCTAAAAGTGACATGGCATATGTACTTATTGGGTGCCATGTACTCAGTCCTGCTTTCCTCACATAATCTTGACGGCATCGAGATCCGTAATATCAGAACTTAGAAAGCCCACCGTGGTTTTCTCCTTCGGAAGGTTTGAGGAGTATAGAAAGACTCCAGAGGAGGGGAGGAAATAATCTTAAAGATACAGTGGATGTGCGAGGGGGAATTTCGAGATCGAGGGACGAGAAAGATATTGGGATTCATCTGTGTAGGAATTTCGGATTGGAGCGGGTGATATATATGGATGGTTGAGCGGGAGAGCAGATGCAGTAATCCATAAGTGATGGTGATAGTTTCTAGGTGGATCTGCAATATTTCTAGTATTGGATCTTGTACTTGGGTTTTGCTTCGATGGTATCGCTGAGCTGGCCTTGGGATGAAAAAAATTCCCAAACACAGCGTTAGGCGTAGGAAAATTCTTCTCCAGAGTCTTCGTTGGGTGCGGAAAAGAAAATGTAATCTTATAAATTTTGTATGCGATTTTGAGAAAAGTGTCTTGTTCGTATCCTCAATCTCCCATTTCATATCTCTTCACTAAACCCTTCCATTCCTCTCCGCTCTCCCGAGAAAATCTACACACAACTGGTGAGTCCCCCCCCTCCCCTGGCGAAATTTCCCCCAGCTGCAAAGGATCTGCTCTTCTGACTCGTATTTTATATTTTATATCTCATATTTGTCCCCATTACCCCCAATCGCAACACTATCTATCCTATCGTTTGTGTTAGTGTATCTGCTGTTTTATTTTCATGTTTTTTTATATTTATACTTGTATTTTGAATGAAAATGAAAATGAGAGGAAAATGAAAATACATAATTAAAATGATCCTACGGAGTAGAGATTCTCCCATGTTTCCATATTTACATTATGATTTATCGATAAGTAGGTAGTAGGTACTAGAATATACAGATCTGAAAGTAGATTCGAAAACAGAGTTGTAGAGTTGTAGAATTAATCCCGCATAGGTAATTCGATTGATTTGGGAGTTTGGGAGTCTGGCGCGAGGATAACTTCTTTTTTAGCTTGAACGGTATATATATGTATATATGTATATAGTTTTTTGAGGTCCTGGGTGGGTGTACAGAACATCCGTAGTAAGTATAATCGTCCTACTCATCTCTCTCATCTCTCTCAAACAATATGTTAGTCACTACTCACTAGTACAAATAGATATCACCATCATCAAATCCTCTGATACCATACATAATAGCTGCTAGGAGGCGGATAGCGCCTCACTTCAAATTTCTGTCGCCCCCGGTACTATTCATCGTGTTGATGGATTCGGGTGATGGATTCGTCGGAAAAGGGATCGCTGGCGACTGGAAGGTTTAGGATATGGGGATATATGTTTCTATGTTTTTGTGTTTTTGGGAGGGTGGGTTTTTTTCTCGGAGGAGGAGAGGGTGAAGGTGAAGGTGAAGAAGGTTTGAAAGAGGCGGGAAAGGGGGTTCTAAAGGATGGAGTTGATGTAGAAGAAGGAAAGGAAAAGGAAAGGGAAAAGAAAGAGAAAGAGAAAGAAGAAAAGAAAAAGGAAAAGGAAAAGAAAGAGACAGAGAAAAAGGGAAAGGTTGGATATAATTTCGAAGGGTGGGAGTGTAAGGGTGAAGGGGTTTAGATGATAGGGAAGGAGGGGGGGAGGGGGGAGGAAGTTCCATGAAAAAGGGATTTTCGAGGGAATCCAAGTTGTTAATTTCATACCGAAGCTTTAGTTGTGTATTCAATAGACAGGTGAACAATGGAGTTTTGGATTCTGATTATCCATGGATGTTCATGTTTGTGATTGAGATTGAGATTTATCTGTGTGGAGTAGTTAGGTCGAGTATATATATATCTACCTATCTCATCTAATGAGGGAGAGGGGAAAGGGAGACCGATGATCACTCTACCCGCAACTGTTAAATCTATAAATACAACATCCACAGCTTTCCCACCCTATTTCCTAAAAAGAAAGCCCGCCCTCCTCAGACGAAATATTCACATCCACCGCTCCCCAATCCATTACCGACCAATCCAACGTACTGATATCCGCATCGATCAACCCCATTCCCTGGGCATTAATAGGCGCCCCCGCTCCAGGTGATGCCGTTCCCAATCCAGTAGATTGCAAATCCTCACCCAGCCCATAGAAAGCCATCGGCGAAACCCTCGAAAAATCATCCGAATCTCCATCCGCATCCGCATCCCCACCCCTCTTCCCCCCTTCCTCCCCCAACCCCGCCAATTCCACCATCCTCCGCCTCACACTCCCCACAATCCCCGGTTCCTTAACCACCTCTCCCATACTCCTAAAAGCCAACTCCCTCACCTCCCAAGCCTGCAGAATGATTTTCGCAAAAATGAGAAAAAAAGGTCCAGGAATCTCATCATACAGAGTAGAATTAAACCTCGCTTCATAATTCGCCGTCATTGCTTCCCAAGCGCGTTCAGCCTGTTGACTCAGCGGTCTGCGTTTGAAATTCTGCACGATTTGGAAGTATGCCGGGAAGGGAAAATACATGTTGGACATCCACATGAAGCCTTTCGCGAGCGGAGATGTTATGAGTTTCGTATCGCATTCGAGCATATTGAGGGCGTGGACGATAGTAGAATCGCGTACTAAACCTACTTTTGAGGAGTGATTCTTTCCGGAAAAGTGCCAATGTTCTACTAAATGCCATTTGGCGAGACTCATTCGTGTAGTCCAGATAGTGGTGAAATGGAGTGGGATTTTCGGATCACAGAATCTGAGATATTTTTCCTCAACCATCTTTTCTAAATCAGTGAGTTCGCTGCCTTCAGTAGTAGGATTATGCTGAGGATGTTTAGCTGCAGATTTTAGAGCCGGATTACTAAAATCAAGATGAAATGTGGTATTTCGAATAAAGTTTCCCAGTTCGCCGCGTAAAACGGCGAAAATCGCCTCGGTTGGTTTTGGCTGACTTTGCGGAGGATCTTTCATCTTTACATGGAAATCCGAGTCGCTCGCATTAAGAGGGACTTTGCAACTCCAAGTGGGATTTAAGTTGACGTGCTTTGAATCAGCAATTTCGCCGATACGAGTATCGTAAAGTATAAGTGACCACCAAAGTCTTCGTCGCATTTCAGCCTCTAGAGGATTAAGTTTAGATAAAGCCAATTCGTTGTGGCAATCCATACGCTGTGCAATCCGAACAGCAATTGCCAACAGGGAAGACAGAGATTGAGGGACTGATTTGGTTCTGAAAGACATCTAACACGGTTAGAAAATACATATTTCATTGCCAACTACACTTACCAGGTAGAAAAATAATGCGGTCAAGGTGTCCCGATCATCTCTATTCCGTAAGAAACCACTATTTAATAGACCCTGCTGACACCCAAACTGATATCTCATCAAGAGGTCTGGTTTCGGTGCGTAAAACAAAAGCTGGCAATCCTCATAGGAAAGACTCGAAATTGCTATGCAATAAATACCAAACATTAACGCTTCCAGCTGAGGTTTAATATTCCGGAGATTACCAGCAGCTCCTATGATCTGTGCCTGGAGACTGGGCGTGTGCGTAATCTTGAGTAACGGATCAATATTTTCCAGGTAAATTTGCCAAAGTCTGAAAATTTGAACTGGTTCTGGATGAAAAGTAGAGATATCGACGTTTGATACACGCGATCCAAATAAAAAATTATCGTTGTCAGATATTTGATCCCATACTTTTTTCACATCGGCTTCACGCACATCGTCATCATCAGAATCACTGATATTATCAGGTTCTCGAAACTAATCCACCGTCAGCGAATGAAAAGAAAGTATCATAAGAGAGGACTTGAATTCATACTTCTTGGCTCATAGCGTGCCACAGGTTCCTGATACTGTTAGTGGGGGTCAACTAGCTTCTTGAAAATTACATACATAGCCCCATCTACTTTTTCAGAATTGGTAGTTGATAGAGATGATGTGTTTGTAGTCGCTTTTGACTGTTCATCGGAATCATTGTGAGTTTCTATCTGAGGAGATTCTTTGTGAAGTGGCTCAAATTTGATATTATTTTGGCGTAGAAGATCTTCGTACTTACGAAGACGATCTAGTAGTTCTCGTTCTGGAAACCTGCGTCGTCGCCGACGAGGAAGTTGTGTTGCTGGTATACATTGTACCCGTGACTTGATACAAGCAGAACAAGGGTATCTGCGATCACACTTTATCTTTCTCTGTTGACAACGCAGACAAGCGAGTACACGTTGTGGTTTCGAAGATGAGGTGATGGTCGACGTCGCAGGGGACATGTCTGAGGTTCCCTCATCCAATTGAACAGGTGGGACTTTTGACATGGCTTTCAGATAGTTCTTGTAGCATCACACAACTATGATACTATTTTGGGAGAAGTGTATTTCAATTTTGGAAATTCGATACTGATGAAAGAGGCATAGGCAGCAGCCAAGGAAAGCGCCCCAATCAGACAGTGGCAGTGATGATATTACAAGCGTTCATATCTATGCCTTGACATGCAGAATGATTACTTGACAACCCACAGAAAGTTCTTATAATTCTTATCATGTGTTGTGTGAAATCGAAGCTCGAGGTTATTGTACGTACGATGAGGGCGAAGGATGGGCTGCTGACTCATCATGCGCATTTGACCAATCAGGATCATATAAATCTCGCTGGCGGTTGGGTCTTAACAGATTCAAACCCAATATCATCTATCATATAATTAGCCCCAAAGAATGAGAAAAGCTCATCTCACTTTCAGTCATGCTCAAGTGAAGGATCGTCTTTAAAGTTGATTGACGCTCCGCTGGGCCACTGCCGTGCAGGCTTTTTCGCTTCGCTCTAATATGACACCCCGCCCTGGTGTGTGGGATCAATCTAGATTTATATTTTACTTATATAGCATTTGAGGTTATTATATGTCGATCTAGTTTATAGAATGAAACATAATTAATGGTTTTAAGAAGTAGATGCGCTTTTAAGTATATGGTTATGACTATTTCTTGATATGTAGATAATATTACTTGATATCAATACTATATAAACTCCATGCAGTACCTGCGAACCTTCATCTCTATTAGGAAGAAAACAACCTATACTTGCTAGAACATCAAGTTGATTCAAGCATCAGCATGAGCTCCTGAGAGATTAGCTTTAACTTGCCCAAAGCATCTACATCGCCATTATACTTTTGTTTAGCACCATGATCCGACCCCACAAACCATACAATACTTCAAACTCCCCTTGCTCAAAACTCCCTTGATTATACAATTAAGGGTCTTCCACTTCCCCCTGCCATATGTTAGGCTTGAATACATCTCATTGTAAACCCATCCTAAGCCAACGCATAAATACAACATGCTTCGGGAATCTTGGCCCAATTCCTGACAGAAGAATTGCAAAACAAGAAAGTCGAATATGAAAAGTTCTTTTGAGCTGAGTACAACACAGCTCCACGAGAGCTCCGAGTATGTGGTAATCATTTGTAATGCCACCCCGATTCCACCCAAAGAAACCTTTCAAGAGTAGTCTTCCAACCAGCCATTTCCTGTGCTAGTTTGTTTCTCCACGAGTATGTTTCTAGTTGCTCTAGACCACACCATCTTCTCCACGGTACATCTTCATTTCAATGATTGATCTTTCGACCGACTCCTCCAGTTCTTCTCAGTAGCCGAGGTGAACATATGAGCCAACATGTTCAGAGGTTGTACCAGAAATGATAGGGGAATGGGAGTTCTTTCCCAGACGTGGGCTGACGCGGAAGCGCATACTTATTAACCTGGGGTTCATTTTAAATATAATTCGGAAAGACAATACACTTTCTAAGCCGTCGAAACCGTCCTCCTCTAAATGTTCTTTTGATAGATGTAGGTTTTGTCACATGAGGAGCTGCTCCGAGCTCCGTCGCATTTATTGTTGCAAGAGCCATTTCTGGATTGCCGCTGCTGAATTATCAGGGGAACAGTGATTTCTCAAACCACTGTCATTTCTGTGTGTCTCGACAACCAATGATTTTCTCGCACTGTGTGTTTGTCATGCAAGAATGTATTTCAGAAGCCCAATACAGACATTAGTGACACCAGGAACGTTAGAGAGAAGACCCTTTTAGCGAACAAAATTCGCCTAGACTTTACATGAAGTTTCATGTTCCAAACAACAGATCTTCAACATAAACTTGATATTTGAGCGAAGCGAGCTATAGGGGTTTGGGGGCTTGCCCCCATACAAGAAGAAGCTTCGCTGACCCTCCGGGGACCACTGCCGTGGTGGCAGACTACTGTACAGAGTTGCTTGAGAACAGGGTCTGGGGGTTCGCCATATAGTTGTAGTGGAGAATTCATTGAAGGTTATCCTAAGCTCATGAAACTTAGTTGTTTTGCCACTTATAAGAGTATTCCATTTTGAGGGTGGAGAAGGGGAGTCATCAAGTGCAATATCTGAGGGGGTCTGGAACCCGGACAATCTTTCGATAGGAATGTGGAGATATAAAATGTAAATAAATATAAATTGAGATTGAAAGATGATTGATTGATCACTATGACTTTACTTGAAGTATAGCGATGAGGTCTTGGTGTGAAGTATCTGCTGTGCTTTGAAGAGAGCCATATATTTCCAGATCTCTGGCAACTAGCCATCCAGTTTTTTTCGGTAATCAAAGAACATTGTAGAATTCCATTCAAATCCCGACATACTGTCGTGAGATTTCCATACACCATTCCAAACATCTTCATCATCTACACTGCACTACACTGCACTACACTGCATTGAATCCACGACCCCGCCTCTCCCCCTCTCGTGTTCGCATACTCAATGCCCAACAAAGTCTTTGCCCCCATTGATCCTTACGATCTTATCAAACACCACGCCATCCGAAGTGGGTTGATCGTGTGTCCACTGTGGTACCAGACTGAGACAGGATATCCATAACTTCCGTGAACACGCCATAGACCAACCAGCTGTTACTCAAAGAATGGATAGATGGACCAACCAACGACCGCTTCGGTGGCAAAAATCGATGAGATTCCCAGCCTCGGTAAAGGATGTGACTGTGGAGGTGGCTGCATGGATTATTCTCGATGCATGAAATTTGTGGAGAAAAGAAGGATTCGTGTATATTTTCCTCGACAATCTTATCGGTGGTAAGTTTATTCCTATTCCGCCCGCTTCTCAACAAAAAAGTGATTTGATACTTGGTCCACCACTAGGGAAAGGGTGAAAACCGGATGTGGTCTGAGGGCTGTTCCATGTTGGGGAATCGGGAGTGAAGTGACAGGTCCATCTTCAATTCTATGATTTTGATTGGGTAAGAATAATATTTGAATTTCCGACCAATGGAACATGGTGATTTGACCAAGATTTGGTTCGTTGATGTTGCATAAACTGGCGATGGAGAGACTGGAATGGAGAAGAAAGGTATTAAATGGGAATCGAACGGGAAACGGGGTCATTTAATTTTCATGGGCAAAATATCCTCATTGAGAATAGACAAGAATTAAGGATTTAGGAAAGCATATTTATATTGAAGAAGTTATCTCTGACTCTAGGAAGAAATGCAACTTTGGTAAACCTACCAGGTCCTCCCGACCTGCCCGGACATGGAACGATAATGCAGGTCCGAGTCCAACATGTATGTCTAAGGCTGTGAGATGTTAGGTTGTTAAGAGATTAATTAGTGGGATCCCAAAGTTATTTAAAGAGTAAGGGTCCAAAAGAAGGTCTCACATGTGGCTTGTGTAGTTGTTTGTGCTAGGTAAGGTTGTGGTTGTGGTTGTGGTTGTGGTTGTGCTTATGCTTGGACTGGCACTTTTAATCCGGTACCCAATCTTGACTTTTGGTACTTGACTTGAGTTGAATGGAATGGAATTGAATTGAATTGATAATCATATTGATTGATAGATTGCGTGGTTGAGACATTTTAGAATTTCCTAATGATAAAACTATATATACCACATACCTGGATAGAGTTCATCACGTTTGATATGATATCCAAAAAACAGGTATTATGCAGTTATCTAGGTAATAACTTCCTAATTGATCCGATGATAGAAGTTCACTACGCAGGAGATTCCTGTGAATGTATCTAAGCTCGCTTCATGAACCAATCAATTAACCACAATGCTGAAATCTGTTGGGACGTTGAGGATTTGGGGGATATCAATAATCACTCACGGCCTGCCAACCTGTCTATGATTATGATCAATGACCACCACATGTAATAAATAGGAAAAGAAATGACTAATTCCAACGAGGAAATCACCGAGGAAAGAAGAAGAAAGAGGAAATATTCCAACCCGTAGTTTTATGTTTTATCTTTTATGTTTTATTCATTTTTCACGGTAATAAATCAGGACATGATTCTTTCCCCAAATGTAACTCACTCATTCCTACTGTGTATTGTCTTGAAACTCTCATTAAAAGATCCAACCATGTATGAACGTCGATGCTTTTATTTGCAAGGGGAAGATAAACCGAAGATTACAATCCCTCGAGACCTTCTTCAACCTCTCACCCTGGTCTACACTGTAATTCTAATCCCTCTTTTGCCTTCAAAGTGGCGAAGTTCAAGATTTTACCTGGATTGATTGACAAGCTTAACAATTAAAAAAAATTAAAGAAAGATTAATTAAGAAAATAGCTCCACGCTTGCTGTTACGAGTATTTTCTAGGTTTTCCCATCAAAATAAAATAAAATCGACCATAAAAATCAAATAAAAAGTCTCCATTTTTACCTTACGTTTGATCACCCAACCGACTTACCGATTCACCCAGTCCCTTGAACTTCCTTACCCATTCAATTCTCCATCCCTACATATCCTTGTTCGGAAAGTACAATTTAGCACATTTCCAAACACCATCAAATCTACTTATAAGTTCAACCACTCCTCTGTCCATACGTTTCTTTCCTCCTTCTCCCACGCTTTCTTCTCCCCATATTATCGACATTCTCTCAAGATGGCTTCGAACGCGTCGCAACCTTCGAGCATGGCGAAGACTTCCGAGCCAAATCGTAACAAAAAGTACGACCCAAAGAAGCCTCACATCACCGAGGAGCCAATTACCAATGCAAATTGGCATAAACACGTTAACTGGCTTAACGTCACTCTCATTATCGCTGTTCCCATATACGGAATGATCATGACCTACTGGACTCCTTTGCAGTGGAAGACTGCTGTCTGGGCTTTTGTTTACTACTTCATGACTGGTTTGGGTATCACAGCTGGTAGGTTCTACTAGATTATTTCCCATGATCGATCACATCTAACGCATTCCTCTAGGTTACCACAGACACTGGGCACATTCCTCATACTCTGCCACACTTCCATTGAAGATTTTCCTCGCAGCTGTTGGAGCTGGAGCCGTCCAAGGTTCTATCAGATGGTGGTCAAGAGACCACAGAGCTCATCACAGATACACCGATACCGATAAGGATCCATACTCCGTACGAAAAGGTCTCCTATACTCTCACTTCGGATGGATGGTCATGAAACAAAACCCCAAGCGTATTGGACGTACTGATATCTCTGATCTGAACGATGACCCAGTTGTCGTTTGGCAACATCGCAACTACATCAAGGCTGTCATCTTCATGGGTATGGTCTTCCCATGTCTCGTCACTGGTCTTGGATGGGGTGATTGGTTCGGTGGTTTCATCTATGCCGGCATCCTCAGAATCTTCGTTGTGCAACAGGCAACTTTCTGTGTCAATTCTTTGGCTCATTGGCTCGGCGACCAACCTTTCGATGACCGCAATTCTCCTCGTGATCACGTCATCACTGCTCTCGTCACTCTCGGAGAAGGTTACCACAACTTTCATCACGAATTCCCGTCCGATTACCGTAATGCTATCGAATGGCATCAATATGACCCAACTAAATGGTCCATCTGGATGTGGAAGCAACTCGGTCTCGCCTATGATCTGAAGCAATTCAAGTCCAACGAAATTGAAAAGGGCCGTCTTCAACAACTTCAAAAGAAACTTGATCAAAAGAGACAAACTCTTGACTGGGGTATTCCTCTTGAACAATTGCCAATCATCGATTGGGATACCTATCAAACCGAAGCTAAGAATGGACGTGCTCTCGTGGCTGTTGCTGGTGTTATTCACGATGTCACCGACTTCGTAAAGGAACATCCAGGTGGCAAGGCACTTATCTCATCTGGTATCGGCAAAGATGCAACTGCGATCTTCAATGGTGGTGTTTATAATCATTCCAACGCTGCCCACAACCTTCTTTCAACCATGCGTGTAGGTGTCCTACGTGGTGGATGTGAAGTCGAGATTTGGAAGCGTGCTCAACGTGAGAATAAGGACATTTCTTTTGTCAGTGACACCGCTGGTCAAAAGATTATCCGAGCTGGCAGTCAGGTAACCCGTATCGCGGAACCTGTTCCTTCAGCAGATGCCGCATAAGCATTCTCGTGTATGGAGTGGATGATCCGAATGCCTTCATTGAATGGCAAAAATAAAAATTGCATTTCTTTTTCTTAACAAGCGTGGGTTAGTGTGTCGTTCTAGACTGGGGCGTTGGTAATACTGGTCAACATGGTGATTTTGATACTAAAATCAAGGAACGGACGGTGGAATGGGTTGCTTTTTTCCAAACTGAGCAAGATGATAAATGGTTCAGATTATGTATCTTAGACAAGCGTGAAAGAAAGAACGACTTTATATTTTGAAAGGGAATGATGATGGCTCATAAATATTTGAGTCGAAAGAATTAAAACTGTTACTTTCACATCACTTGTTTTCAAAGCTGTTCTGTGGGATGTGATAACGTTTGACTTTGCTATGAAATGTGTAACTTTCATATGATCTGTACAAAAGATCTGACGGATCATCGACCATTAGGATTGCTTTGATTCATACCATTTTATCGAATCTCGAAACCGTATGTGCATGTTCACACCTAGTATAGATCTTCATGTTCTCCTATCTGATCAATTTTTTTATATCGATAGAACATCAGCATTAACATCAGCATTAACATCAGTATCCATACCCATATCCATCCTATCACATCCCAACAACGGGCACTAAAACCCCGGATTCGGATTCGGGGTTTTATGTGTGTGCATGTGTGAGCGTGCATGTGTGCCGAGGTTCAATGGAAATGGCGGGTGGAAATTGGGGGGGGGGGGCGGACTCTTTGATTTCTACTGCTTGTGAATTTGGTTTTGTGTTTGAGAGATACGGAGATATATATCTACCTACCTACCTACCTACCTACCTACCTACCTGGTATCTTTTAATTTTGATTTTGATTTTGAGTGATTTGGTTCATTTAATCCATTCAATCTCGAAAACAAACAATCGATCAATCAATCAACCAAGGAAACAAGATAAGAAGAAGGAGAAAAAGGAGAAGAAACATGCCTTCAGAAACGCAAATGCAAATGCAAACAACATTCGACGCGAAAAATGATGTGGGATTGAAAAGGTTGGGTTTCTTGATGAAGGGGTGGAAGAGTAGTGGGGAGGGGTATATTGTGGGTTTGATTTTATATTGATTTTTGTGTGGTTGTTGATTTTGTGTTGTTTGGGGGAGAAGTGGGAGGAGAGGGGGGAGGGGATTGGGGGGGTGGAGGGGGGTGGTTTTTGGAGGTGGTTTTTGGAGGTGGTTCTTGGTTGTGGTTTATTTGGTCGAGAGGGATTGTTTGAGGGTCTTTGGTGGAGAGGCAAGAGAGAGGGAGATGTGTGTTTCAGATTTCTTGGAGTTGGTTTTTGTCATGATGCCTGCTTCGAGAGATTGAGATTGGGATTGGGATGGCATTGAGAGGGAGATTGCGTATTTGAGCTTTGCGAGTTGCAAGTTGCGGGTTTGCATACTCTTCCCTTCCTTTTCTCTTTTCCTTTTTCCATCTCCTCTTCCTATCCCATCTCCATGCCCTTCACCTTATCTCCATGCCCCTCAGCGCAACTCCTATTCTCATCCTCATTCATCTCTCCAATTCTCTCGCCCTTCAATTCTTCAGTCTTCCAAACCCAAAAATTTCCCCTGATCTCCTAATCTAACCTCACGATCAAACCCAACAACTTCCAAGCTGGAAGTCCAGTCCATCTTATCCTTTCCCCTTCCCATCCCTGATCACTCACATCAACATCAATATTCTCACATTTCCACATTCCCGGTCCCCCTACATATATATTAACACCTACATCTCAATCCCCAAAAAACACAACTAACACATCTCCTCCCTCTTTTCTAGGGATGGGGTCATGATCTCCTACCTTCACTCTCACTTTCTACAGATGCGGAACATCATTTGGAGAATGTGACGACGTTTGTTTTTAAACCGACGGTGCATCATTGGTTAGTTTTTTTTGTTTGTCCTGTTTTTTGGTTGTTTTCTTAAAAGGAGGAAGGGAAGAAGGAACGGGGGTAGGAGGTGACTTTTTGGGAGGTGTTGGGTTCTTGCTGTTTGTGGGGGGAGGGGGTTTCAGTTTGTTTCTTGTGAAATCTCATTGAGAACTGGAGAGAATTTGATTGAAACCTTCCTTTCTCCCCATCATATCACCTCATTCATCAAGAGCTTCTTCCCGTCCAAAAAGTCATTCCAAAATGTATAATCTTATACGAGGGCGTGTTTTTGATGAGGGCCCTCATTATTTACGCATATGCACGGATCCGGGCCCTCAATTAAAACACGCCCTCGTACCCTATCTACAACCCCCTCCCCATCCCCTTCTCCATCCCCCATTTCCACACCCCACTAACCCTCTCCCCCCAGTAACGCAAACTCCACCGTCCACGGCGGCTGCATCGCAACCGTCTTCGATGCCTGCACATCCGTTGCACTGATGGGTCGCTACAGTGCTCAGAAATGGGGTGGTGGTGGTGTGAGTAGAGGATTGGGATGTACTTATATCAAGGGAATTAGTATTTTTGAGGAATCTGAAGGAGAAGAAAAAGGGAAGAATGATGTTTTGGTAGAGTGTGAAGTTGTGGGGGGGTTGGGAAAGAGAAATGTGGTTTTGAGAGGTTAGTTTTATTGTTTTTTTTGTGTTCTTTTTGAGAAGGATTTGGATTTGGATTTGGAAAGTTGGATGAGATGAGATGGGATGAGGTGGTACTTTTGGTTTTGGTTTATTTACATATTTTCCTTTCTTTTTCTTACCCCCCCTTCTCGATCTACCCTCTCCATTCCTTAAACCACATCACGTCACCACCCATTCATCCCCTCTACTCTATTTCATAGCCCCATCCCTTTACCTCAGTCTAGAAATCCAATCCCAACAGATTCAGCACACTCTCCTCCACCATCCACCATCCACCAACCAATTGAAGAAGTCTTCAAAACCATTAATCCCCATTCCAAAACTCCCTATTCCTACTCCACAGCAAAACTTCCCAAGCACAACACCCCCCACCACTGAGAAGAAACCAAAAACATTAAACCAAACCACATTCAAAAACCCCCAAATAAAAAGAATAAAACTAACACTCCACCCCAACCCCTAGGAACAATGAAACGCAGAACCGGAGAAGTCCTAGCCATTTGCGAACATAGTAAAGTGAATATTGTGGGTGTGGAATTACCTGCTTCTGGTTCAAAGGAGAAGGAGAAGAAAGAGGGAGAGGGAAAGGGAAAAGAGTCAAAGTTGTAGATTTGGGGGTGAGGGTTATGAGCTATGGGATGGGGAGGGGTGAGAAGAGAGGAAAGGAAAGGGGTATGAGGATGGAGAGAGAAGGAGAGGGGAAGGAGAGGAAGAGGGGAAAGGAAAAAGAGAGAGGGGTATATAGATGAATAAATAAATAAATAAACAGATAGATATAAACCAAAACTCCAATCTCCAATCTATACATCCTACTACCTACCTAGTCACATTACGATTTATACACATCACATCACATCACATCAGTATATCCTCCAAACCCCCTCAGTCCTCAGTCCTCACATCAAACCACCATCCCCGCTATCCAGATCAAGTATATACCTCTTTTCTTAATCTAAATCCTATCAAACCAGATCGCACATACCTACATATCCAAATCCCCTCGAACCTCGAACCTCAACCTCTAAACTATCACCCTCCAAGAACCAGACATGGAATCATTTCGTAATTTTAAGGATATGTATCCATATCCATCTCCATCTCCATCTCCATCTTCCTTACACACCACCCTCCATACATCAACATCAGATATACACTCCTCTCCCCACCCCGACTCCTCCACTCACAATCTCATTCCGAATCTCACGACCATCGAAAAATAACATATTACATACCCGAAAACATAAACACAAGTACCCAAACACAAGGTCTCTCTAATTCTCCTCGCAGACTTCCGATTCGAATTTCCATACCTAGCCCCTAGAGTGCGAACTTACGACGCCTTCGCTTAATAAGGACTTATTGATGAATCATATGATTTGAAATTTGAAATTTGATTAAAGATTTATACACAATCTTTAACATGAAATCTTTTTAATAATATTTGTATTTTGAAATTTTAAAAATAATAAGATATATTAATTTTGAATTTTTGTTTATCTGATAATTTAAAAAAATAAATTAGAATCAAAATCCTATTTTGTAAATAGAAAAATTAACTACGTTAGAATTTCTACTTCTTGTCTCTGTTCCCCTATCTCTCTCATTCTCATTTTCTTCTCCTCTCTATATCTTTCTCTGCATCTCTCTCTGCATCTCTCTCTACATCTCTCTCTACATCTCCCTCTACATCTCTCTCTACATCTCTCTCTACATCTCTCTCATGATATATTTCTAGATTCATCTGTCTGATACATTCATACATGTATATACTGATATTTACTTATAGAACATAATATAACATTGAAATCCACACATACATAAATATATACATACACACTTCCTTTTATTTTCTTTCCCCTCTCTTCTATTTCCTCACTCCTTATTCCCATATCCACTTCCCCTCTACCATTCCCTACCTCCTAATCTCAACTTTCATCTCAACCCATCCATCCATATATCCATATATCCACTTCAAAAGACACTCCCCCTTTCCTAACCCCTCTTGCATTTCTCCCTCTCCCTCTCCCTCTCCCTCTCCCTCTCCCTCTCCCTCTCCTATCTCCATCCCTCTCTCCTCCCCCCTCCCAACTTTCAAATCTCAAAACCAACATACAACAAAAAAAGCAATTACAAAATGAATAATCGATCATAGTCACTAACCCCCCCTTACATACACCCATCTACCTCTCTCTGTCTTCCTTCACAAGCACAAAAGCACAGAAAGAAAGAGAAAATAGAAAATAACCCCCCGGAATCTCTAACCCGCTTACAAGATATACATATCTACACATAAGAACACGCAAGCAAGCAAGTAGCGCATCTTCAAGCACCAACCCACTAACAAAAATACAGACACAGACAAAAACACAAACACACATACAAACAGAGCGAATCGAAAAAAAAAGTTGAAGAGGAAAAAAAGAGTAATTGTATGTAAAGTCAATCAATCAGTCAGCCATCCATCCAGCCGACCAATTAATAAATCCCAAACTCCTTGCTACCATTCCATATTTTATATGTCCATTACTCCTGTACTCTCTTGATACACAGCCAACACATTACAAAGAATGCTCGCCTAGCAATCAATTATTCAGTTCCGGGAATAATTTTTGATAATGATGTTCACCAACTTCCAACACCGTAATTTCATCCCCAACCCTCAGTGCTCCATCTTTAGTAGTAGGTACTAATTGCATACCCAAACATCCTAAATTCTTTCCGGCTCCTTCATCAATAGCTCTGAAGGTTCGTAAAGTTTTATCGGGTTCGGATGGATGTCTAATTCCAGTTTCTTGATTTACATTTGGCATTTTGCATCTTACTGTACGACAAGAAACGTCGTATTCGTAAAAACCAATCTTAATTCGTCGCCAATCATCTTCGTGGTAAGCTGGAGGTCCGGTAACTGAAAGATGTTAGTAATGAAACGAATAGATTGCGAGATTGAATAACATACTGATTAAATTGGCACGGAATTGTCCTGCAGACAATCTTGGTGCCCCCTTAACCTTTGGCATTTTACTTTCAACATCACGAATACTAGCAAGGTTGATAAGGTGGATAGGGTACTATATCGAATTAGCAAAGAAATCATACAGTACATTTTCAGCGTTTGAAAAACTTACAGCATCTTGAAATCCAGTAACTGGTTGATATCCAAGGTCTTCCTTTGAAGGCGCATTTCTGAAAACTTCTCTCGGCTTTGCGCTATTGACTCTGAACAAACCCAACTTGTTGCTGATACCAAGGTAATATCTGAGTTCTTCTGGAATCTCAATTTCCACATTCAAAGCATCAACCGTTTCTTTCCAGATTGTCATCTTTTCAACAGTATAACCTGCTTTCTCAATTTGTACTGGCGAAGGATCGAATGGCACACGGAATTGTTTTTCAGGTACTGTTCCCATGACTTTGGCACCCCAACTTGCAACGGTTCCTCTCCATCCAGATTCTTGATATGGGAAACTCATGATTATAACTCCTCCACTCTCAACATCATCGATATGAGGAGCATATGAATCCACGCTTTGATCCGGAACCCAAATTTCGGTTCTAACTTTCGCCAACAATGGGAATTGTCGTTGAGTGATGAATTCCCATTGATGTGCTGCTTTCTTTGAATTCGGATCGTTCTCTGCGACGGGAAATGGACTTTTCAATTGAGCAAAGGTAAATTGACGATCGTATTCCATTCCACTTGCAACAATGGTTCCTCTACCCAATTCAACCCCCTTGCAACTCTTGACTGGATAAATCCACATACTCTTCAATCTCCACCATTCTGCAGATGTTTCTTCGGTACTGGGAGGACGTCCCTCGGAGAATTTGGGATCGAATTCATTGGTAAGATTGCTGTCAATTTTCAATCCCAGTTTTCTACAACCTTTAGGTTGTTCGGCACATTGTCGCGATTGTTCGAGTTCGTAGAACACTAAAAGGGCAATAGGGGGTATACAGATTGCCAGAATCGTTAGGACATATGTGGTCGTAGAGATAACTGGCAGTTGTTGGATCAATTGGTCCTTGTAAATTTCGAGTTGCTGCAGGGCAAGGTCGAGATATGGTTGAATGAGTGACGACATGGTGAGTGAGTGAGTTGATTTGAGACAAAAAGCACTATTATGTGCAATCTAAGTTCTAGTGAAAGATGTTAGCTTTCTGATGTCTAATTGCCTCTGTGACATGGAAGTGAATTGGTATTACCAGAAAATGTACATGGAAGATGCGAATTAAAGAGCGTAAGAAGAGAAGGAATGAAATGTCAAGAATAGGATTGAAGGAATAGAGGCAGCAGCAGAAGATAGCAGCAACTCGTCAATGCAACAGATTTAATTCTTGGGGAGAAGTTGAATGAATTGGATATGAATTTGAGAAATGATGAGAGGCGTTGAGAAGGGAAAAGATAGAAGGAAGGCAGTGGACAGAAAGTCGAAAGTATTATTCGTTTGAGACTTTTGAAGTAGCTCTTGTTACTCGTACCAGTTCTTTTTTTGTCAAAGTACTAGCGTCAAATGCAAGATAGGAGCACACACGAATTTCCAGGAAATAATTCCAATTTAAGAAATTAAGCTCCAAGTTTCCTAGTGCTAAGGGTATGTGTATCTACCTAGCGTTGATAATAAAAAGAATTTTAAATAATAATAAGAAGAAGAGCAAATCCGCGTATGTCTGTGTGGATGAATCAGAATCCTGGGTTTGATTGAATCTCAGACTAAACCCAATACGACGATCAAGTTCCCGCGGATGGTATTGGATCCCCTAGTCAGACACACGTTTGATATTCGTCGTTTAGTGGGGAGAAATCATTCTTGATGCGCGGTGGTTTCTGTTGTTTCTGTTGTTTCTAGAGTTTTGATGTGCTCGAGTAGAACAAAAGTATGATAGATAAGCAGGGGATGTGAAGATAGATTGTCTCCATTTGCTACGGAATACACCTTCTTCTTCGTATAATGATGATGAGAACGATATACGAGAGTTAGTCATCAGCGGTCACATGAGAAGACTCTACAGAGTATATAACGAGGTAGCACAAATCATATCCGTTTGTACAGACACATAGCTAATAATAACAGCCTGCCCAGGGTTTGAGCAATGAGTTACACCTTGGCATGAATCCGTGATCTTCAGTGGGGTTTTCTCTTCATGGGTGAACTAGAAACAAAAAGGGTTCAAAGGGTATCATGGAAAAGAAGGGGGGCAAATGTAATTCATGCTTCTGTGTGTCTGTACAAGTAATCGAGGATATAATAAATATCATTGAAGCGAATTAGAGAAAGGAGATGTATTAATATCCAGTTACGCGTTTCTCATTCAAGGGTTCAAGATCCACGATATTGAGAGTCTATCGAGTCCATTCAATCTATTCAGTCTATTCAGTCTATTCAGTCTATTCAGTCTATTCACCACTCTACCTCTCTCTACTCTCCACCAAAATCCCAAACGTTCTTCACCCTCCCAGCACACACCGATTGATTTGAATCAAAATTTCCAGGATCCTCGAATTAAAAATAACAATAGGAAAGAGAGGAAAAAAGTTTAATCCATCAACGCCAAGATCGAGCTACCTAGGTAGCATGATAACCTTGGAACTGAAGGCGCGTCCTGCTTTCCACTTTTGGATGATCTTAATGGGCTGTGCAAACGGGTAA